AAAATATCCAGAGAATCTTCATATACCTTATAACACATTTCCATAGCATCAGTTACCTCCTCTGAATGCTTGCCAAGAATTGCAATTACAAAATTATGGAATGTTTTCTGGTGTTTTCTAAGTACTACTACTTTAATTGTAAAATGATCTTATCAATACTCTCAGCAATGGATGAACATACTAGTTTCATCAAACCATTTTAACTTTGAGGTTTTATTTCAATTTGTGTTTTCCTATAAATAGTTGCTAAAGTAGTACACAGAGCATATGAGCATTTCATTTACTCTTGATCAACGCACGCAAGAATACCAAAAGCTGGAAGACCGAGCAGCTTTTCTATGTGGGGCTCCTCCGGGACATCCCTGAGAAGACAAACACACCACTGTCCACCCGTGCTACCCATGGCATAGCTGGCCAGAAGACAGCACCGCTCTGGTCTGGGGAAGCCTTTGGAATTAAAAGCACTCCCACTGCAGTAACAGTCGTAGTCCATCACTAAAAAGAGAAAATGCTGCACTTAAGGAAAATATTTATCCATAATAAAAATGACTTTATTTAGCCTGGGAAAAGTGCTCAAGTACTTAATAAAAGCCATCCATCGAGTCTAAAGTTAAAGAGCAGCCCTTAGGATTTGGCAAAAGGGTTGCACTGCTTGACCTTTGGCCCCAGCCACAAGAGCTCTAAGCCCTACTTGCTTCCCAGAGATAGCCACCTTCTTTCTTGCCCTCCTCCCTAACCCCTCTCTCCACTTAAGGGCAGCAAGCAACTTGACACTGCTGACTTCTCCAGTTCACCAAAGGTAGAGTTAGAACAGCTGGAAGCAGGTGCTTCAAGTGCACTGTGTCCCCTTCAGCACGTGGAAGTTATCCTACATTTTAAAAGTTAGACTGGACCTCTTTATTGCTGGTATGTTTCCTGTATTCTACAGAAATTTTCATAGAACATTTGCTTTTGTATGCTCTCTCCACGTTAAGGAAAGATGAACTTTTGTAACCGTATATTCATTAAACATTACTTTTAAATGACTTTGGTTTTGTTCAATTCTGATTTTGATTCATTCGATGCCAGAGAAGGTTATGGGAAAGTTTTGAATCCAATGATTCCAGCATCTAGGAGTAAAAGACACTCACTTCAGGGATGAGGAAAAGCAGAGGCAGTGTGTGGGTTTATGACACTATGAAGTACATGAGCACCCCCAAGCCATGCATTCTGGTATCTTACCTGAAGGATGTGGGGGATCAGCTGCCGAAATGGGGAGGATATTCCACCCTCCCCTAAGCTTCTGTCAGAAGTAGAGAAAGAGCCATTCCTTTGGCAGCAGACACCATCAGGCCAGAAGAAACCGTTTTACCAACTCTGGGACGGATTCAGACTGCATGACCTCTGACATTAAATACACTGCACAAATGGATAGCTACATCCTCTGTAGGTGTTGTTATGCTTTCAAAAACAAAATAAAACTGATAAAAACGGGACTGAAAACCTGGCTAGAAGCACATGGAAAAGCTTGCGCTCAAAACTACTTTAACCAAATATTCATTCAAGAGCTATTCATGCATTTATTGTTCAGGTATCACAAAAAAAAATCCATGATGATGAAGTGTATATAATGAATTTCACCTCTGGGAGTCAAAAGATTCTCAGACATCTCCCAAATCAAGGTGTAACAGCAGTCAAATTTGCACGCAGAAGTCAGTTTTCACTTCCCATCACAGCCATCAATCCCAGCAACCCTCACCAACACACACTGCACAACAATCCACAAATATCCTTACAGAATCCCCTTCTAGTTTTCTGTAATTACAATTTAAGAAAATATTCCATTTTAAAGATTGGTTCAGTAAAATTTTGAAAAAGAAATGTTACTTGTCTTGCATTACCTTACCTTAAGTTCAAAGGTAAGCTCTGGTCTCTCAGAACTCAAATGGAAGGGGTTAGAGGATTAAGGGTAGATCAGCTGGAGAGAAAAATGAAAGAGCAGGATAATGTACCCAGGTTCTGGCTCTACAGCAACTGAAACTAACAGCGTTCTGAACTCTGTGCTTCCTGCTGTAGGGGAAACTTGGAAGGCTTTTCATGATGTTCATCACATAATATAATGAGCAGCAAAGCCTGCACTAGCATGACATCTATCATTTTATTTAACTCTCAAAACAATTCCCTAAAGTGCAATCACCAGGATCCCCCAATATTATGATGAAGATGTCAAAATACACACACACACACACACACACACACACACACACACACACGATCATCATCATCATCAAAGGGCAGGTTCATTGCCTCTCATTACAGAAAAAAGAATTTCAGGACAGGTCAGTGATAAGCAAAGGAATATATTTTTAGCAAAGTAGAAGATGTACGTAGTCAGAGAGCAGGGTGCTCAAGGGAGAGTCACTATGGTGTGAGGCTGAGGTTCTATATGTAGCCTTAGAGTTATCTTTTCTTTTTCCATATTTTCCTAAGGGTCTACAGGGTCTCACTACATAGATTGGACTCATAGTGGTCCACCTGTGTTCACCTCCCAAGAGCTGGGATTACAAGCGCCACCATGCCTAATCTCAATCAGTGCCTCAACGAGCCCCAGGGCAGGGTCAGCATGGCCGGCCAGAGATCGAACCCCTGCCGCTGCTTCTGCCTAAGCAGGCACTTTAATCCACTAAGCTATTTGGCCGGCCCCCTAGAGTTAAGATGGATAATCTCAGAAGTTTTCTCTAAAAACATTCTTTGAATCAGTTGAACAGCACCATAAAGTCCGATTTCCACCCCTCACCTTAACAATTACATTACCTCATGAACTTCTCTCTATGGGATTTGAGTGTGTTGAGCCTGGAAGAACAAAAAAACAAAAAACAAACAAACAAACAAACAAACAAACAAACAAAAAAGACTATGGAGAAAAGCACAAACCTAGGAAATAAAGGTGCAGTAAGGATATGGATAATTCTGGGTGATTTTGATCGGGCTTGAGCACTGTAGATTCCTCATCTCCTTCCAACTTATTTTTGTTTCTTCTTTTTTTTTATTTTTGTATTTTTAGAGAAGGGTCTACAGGATGTTCAGGGTCTCACTACCAGTGTAGTGATCTGCCTGCTTACAGCCTCCCAAGAGCTGGGATTACAGGTGCACACCACCATACCTGGTCTCAATTGCCTTCTCAGAGTGCTGCAGGGGCAGGGCCAGCACTGCAGGCCCAGGGACCAAACCCCGGGCCCCTGCACCTGCTTGCAGGCTCTTTAATCCACTGAGCTATTTGGCCAGCCATTTTTGTTTCTTCTGTCTTACTCCACTGCTTTTATTATTCTTGTCCTTAAGAAGACACTGAGCCTTACACACTTAGTACTTGGCCTACTGTTACACCACTAGTAAAAGGCAGAAGTTCAGGGCCATCTCCTCTCAATCCAACACCAAACCATCCTCCAAAATTTCCCCTTGAGTCCATGAATTAGGCTAGATTCAACCACAACCCTGGCAGTAATATTCTGAAACATTTTTAAATGCAAAGCTCATTAGCATTTTAATGGTCTTAGTCTCCCTGTTCTCAACAAGGAGTTTGCTTATGTTGATGTCACTGTACCCTGCACAGCAGCAGTGAGGTCGGACTTGCAGCTCCTGCCTGAACTCACCCCCTCACAGCTCCCATGCCACTCCTCCTCTGTGTGCTGATCCCCAGTTCTCTGGAGCTCCAAGGGGAGCTTTGTCCAGATGAAAGGAGGCAAAGTCCCCTGACACCCAGAGGTGCAGTCCAGGAGGGTACAGCTCTTCTCCCAGAGCTGAAGAGCAAATGTTTGCTTTGCTCTGCTTTCTGCATTTAGTGAACGAACCTATTAAAATTTAGTGAGTCATGCAGGAAATTTCATAACACTTTTCACATCTTTTTTCAAAAATATACTTCTTTAATGCTTGTTGAGAAAACTTAGTGTTTAAAAAAAAGAAAAAAATGGTCCATTACCCATAACCTATTGCTACCAGTCTCTCAGTTTTATAAATCTGAAGAGCTGCCAGACTAGAACCGATAGTACATCAAAATTATTAGAACATGATCCACTGAAACCAAAGTTTCTCCATGATTTAGAGAGTCAAAGAGGTTGTTAAACAGTGTAATCAGTATATATGAGTCTCAAACCCTTCTATCCATGCTGATAGGAGAGAGATGAAAAATGACAGAATTTCCATTATTGTTTCATCAGAGAAGGGTAGCACATCTGTGCAAGTGGATGTTTTTCCCAGCAGCCCAAGCACTGTCAATAGAGGCCCTCGCAGCCAGCCAGCCAGCCTGCCCTCTCCTCACAACAGAGTGTTGCTCTCTTCCATTTGGGGGCAACCTGGGCAATTGTTAGTAAGTTTTCTCTTGTATCCAACCAGCTTTTCTTGTTATACATGCAGCCATTTTTCTTAGCACTATAATATAAAGATGTGAGAGCCTGTAGTTTTTGTAAATATCACACTTAAATATCAAGACAGTATCAAACTTTGCTCTAGAAGATTTCAAATGCTCTATTTTATCTTATTAATTAAAAAAAAAAAAGAGTGAGACTACCGGGACCGCGGGATCCTGAACAGACCCAGAGCACAGGCCCGGTGAGTGAGTGAGATGACCCAGGCCCACAGATCCTCATTCAACCCAGGCTGCAGGCCCAGCAGGGAACCCTTCAGCAGAACTCCCTGCAAAGAGGCTAGAGGCAAGACACACCCAGCTGATTCAGGAGCAGAACATCTTCCCAGAGAGACACAAAGGGTTCAACTCTAATGCCCGCAGCAGAAAGAAGTGAAGC